AATCAGCTAATTCAGATGAGCTGGCTTGATTTCACGTGAGGACTCCTAAACCAACTGGCCCTTATTTTCTGGGAGTGGTTTTGCGGTTAGTGGTCTCTTTGAGGAATGGATCACTGGCCTGTCGAGTTCAAAGCACTAGTATTTGCTGCCTAGGGGAGAGTAAGGAACTGAAAGGTACAAGGAATTATCTGCAACTCTCAGAGACTAGCTTTGGAGGGATCTTTGACTTTTCCTTAAACTCTTACTTGGTACTGACACCATTCCAGAGTATAAAGCCATGTTCTTGCCATCAGTCAGCAAATAGTAAGAAGTAGGTATCTTACATGCTACATGCTTGCAGAAATTAGCAAGTACACAGCACACTGTCTGTCTTCAAAGGGTTAATGACTTTATCAGGGCCATAACACCAGCCTATTAAATGACTACTGCAAAATCCTAGGCAGGCGAAATTTAAGTATCAAGTTTTGTGTGCCTCAAATCATAACTGTGGTTACAGTTGAGGGAAGGGAGACAAGTTGGGGGGTGGGGGATTGTTGATGGGCATTCTACAGGAGGTAAGCAAGAGGTGCATTTACTGAGATGAACTTTAAAGTAGTTAGGGGTGCATGTGAAGACAGAAGATGGCACTTAGAGAATGAGGATGACATGTTCACAGGATGCTTGGATGCTGAGGGGACCAGCAAGACTATGCACAGCTAGAGGGGGGCCCTGTTTATAGACAGTCTTGAAAACCACACAAAATTCCACCTTGAAGTTATAGCCGAAATCATTATGTATAAGGGACTGGGATGCCAGAAGTGGAATTTAAGGACAAGTGATTTCCCAGTTGTGTGTATTGTATGATAGTGGAGTGACAGTTTCATGTCCTCCAGGGTTTAAACTTCATGGAGACTTTCAGCCTGTTGTATTATTGGCCGGTGGACAGATTCAGGAACTTACCCTCAGGAATTAATAGTTCCACTGGCAGGTGAAGCAGAGGAGTGGCTCACCACGGTTTTTGTTCCTCCTCTTGCCTCCCCCAGAAAACTCACTTCATTTACTTTAATTCATTTTTTTCCTTTAACAATGAAGTCCTTGTTATTGCTTCTCGTGAATAGGGAAAACAGTCTTGTTCAGAGTCACATTACCTAAAGGCCTCTGGACAGTTAGAAAGAAAGTAATGCATAAAACCATATGGGAAGGAAGTTTTCAGTGCTTCAGAAAAGCAAGCCAAAAAGCAGTCATGCTTAGAGAGAGAGAAGCAAAGGAGTTTTCATGTTGACAAATGACATGCAGATTTTGTTAAGAAAAAGGAATCATTCTTGGTAAAATGGGTGCTAGGCAATATAAGACAGAAATGTTGCACCCTTAAACTAAAATGTTAGAATTTCACCCTTTGTTGAGTGCAGCAAAGACAGATCTCTAGGTTTCCTTCAGGGTAGCAGCCCTAGGAGCTGCACTTGCTCCTCCCCAGTGGGAGACCCCAGAGAGCTGAGTCCTTTACTCAGACCTTAGCTTATTTTCTATTGCTTTTGTCACTTTCCCCATGCAGACTAAAGCTGTATGAGTGGTGATTCTTAGATAAGGTTCCTAAAAGTTGCCTACAAAGTCCAGAAGGGCTTATATGGGAATAGTATTTATGAAGCCACTACAGGCAGCTACACTGTATGTAGAACACACTGTAGAGCCAGCGGGGTCCTTGGCAGGCTGTGGGCTCCCCTAAAAACTGGCACTGTTGCTCAGCCCCTGGGACTGAGCCAGCTCTACATGGGCTTTCTGGGTGGTAGTGATATCTGGGAGGCTTCTGTGGTTTCTCACAGCTCTCACTCCTTGTTACGAACTTTTGACATAGAAAACAGCAGTCTCTCTCATGCCATAGGTTTCTTTCCAATTCCTCATTTCAGATATCCTTGACCTTGTTGCTTAGACCATGTGCATTTTGCCTAAGAAAGTAAAATGTGGCACATTTATACCATGGAATAATATGCAATCATAAAAAAAAGATGATTTCATGTCATTTGCAACGACGTGGAGGAAGCTGGAAACCATCGTCAGCAGACTAACACAGGAACAGAAAACTAAATACCACATGTTCTCACTCATAAGTGGGAGTTGAACACTGAGAGAATATGGACACAGTGAGGAGAACATCAGACACCAGAGCCTGTTGGGAGGTTGGGGGCTAGGGTAGGGATAGCATTAGGAGAAATACCTAATGTAGATGACAGGTTGATGGGTACAGCAAACCACCATGGCATGTGTAGCAGACCTGCACGTTCTGCACATATACCCCAGAACTTAAAGTATAATTTAAAAAAGAAAAAAGAAAATAGACCCAATTTATGCTTCAGGAATTCCCAGTGAAGACAGTGAACTAAAATAGGCAAGGAGGGTTCAGGTACATGTAGGATGGAACTGTGAGCTCTGTCAGATTTTTGCTGTATGGCCCTGGAATCTGAGGTGGACTCTGTAACACACATTATTGTCACTTTTCCTTGTCTTTCAAGTGAGAAAGCTAGCGGTTAAAGTGACTCCTTCAGCCTGTGTCAGTGCTGGGCTAGCTCGGCTGGTTGTCTCTTGGCTTTAGTGGAGTGTTTGGTACCTGGGCATGTCCGTCTGCCGGGTCTGTTGTCATCTGTTCAGCTCGCCAGCCTTTCATCAGCACTGAGGAGAGGTTGGCAGCAGTGGGAGTGTAACTCAATGAACGTGTGGGACCCTGGGTGTGAGTTAAGATGGAGTTCTAAGTGATCTTTGGCGTATCTTAACAGTTAGGCATCCTGTCCTTCAGTGTGAATGCAGGTGTGTGTGGGGGTGTGTGTGTGAAATGCTTTAGTTCCTTCATAATGTTGAGGGAACAATATTGAAGGGTGAAGGCATATCTTTGGTGTCCTCTGTGCTCTAGCTTCGCTCCAAGGACTGCCCTCTTTGTAGTGTTCTGTGGTCTGGAGTTGAACCCCCTCTCAATTAGCTGGTCATGAGATAAGGTGTGGAAAAGCAATTCATACCAACGTTGTAGGGACCGTGAATGGCTTAGTGCTGGGGTCTGTACTGAGCTCCACATTGAAAGCACACACACACACGCACACACACTCCCCCTACCCTTTTCCTTATATGCATATTCATATGTATATGTATAAACACACGAATATGTGTTTTAGTTGGATCTCCGTTTTATTACCAGTTTACTCTGTCTTTAACATTCTTAGTCATGGTCATGTGACTAGATAGCATCACCCAAAGTTGTAATATGCTGGCACATAGCATTCCTGACTCAGTGTCTATTTTAAGAAAACACCATACTTTCTTTGATTGAAGTATATGGGCTCTCAACTTCTCTCTTACTCTGATTTGGTAGGGGGGTTGGGATGAAGGTGCAGAAAGGTGTTTTGTGGTTTGGTTTTTTATTATTGTTATTTTCCCTCTTGCTTAGAGCTTCCCAAGTTTCGCTGAACATTGGATTCATTGGAAGAACTTTATAAAATACAGGTGTCTGGGCTCTATCTTCAGAGATTCTGATTGAGTAGGTCTGGGAGGCCTGCGTGCAGAGATTTAAAAAGTTTCTCAGGTGATTTTAATATGCAGCCAGAATTGTACCTTGTACCTTTTTCATTTTCCACCTGCCTGAAAGGAAGCCAGATCGGGACTTGCCTTTGTGTCCATGATTCCTAATTTTAGCCCTAGACTTCTAGATTTATAGATAATGCCCAGAAAGGGGCTGGGTTTCTTTTCAGGTTGGCCAAGAGGAGAAGGTGGACAGACACTGTTATGCCCTGGAACTGTAGTTATAGACTGATCTTCAGATAGTGTCATTTATACTTGGTTTATGTTCATCTTTAAGGCTGGGTGTTACAACTATATTATTTATTTTAAATTTATAAGGTAAATATTCTTATCAGAATCCTTTTTCTTTCTAGTCCAAATATGCCTGTAATACACGTGAGCACACATGCAAATACTGTTTCACATGTTGAAGTAAAAAAACTCAGGAAGAAGATGAAGCCATTCCCATCTTATGGCCTTTTGGTATCAATCATTAGTCACTTACTTTGGCCTTGTGAAAGATGGGTAGATAACAAACCTAGTGAGAAATTTCAAATTACCAGTTTGAAGCCATTGCTGAAAAACAGAATTTTTTTTTAATGGAATTATCTTTCGGGCAAAGATGTTGATTTATTTTAAAAGTACTATGATTCTTTCCCTAGAGTAAAATAAGTTACTTTTGCTGAAAAGAGTCTTAAACTTGGTGCCCACGCAGAGGAATCAGTGCGGAGAGAGAAAACAGCCTGGGCTCGCCCTGCTGAATGTTCCCACGGTTGTTGTGTGTGCAGTATCAGTGTTACTGTACTCATGTACTTCAGACCTCAGTGACTGAAGGACTGAATACACTGTCATGTTTAATTGGAACAGGAAGCACACTTCAGTTTGTGTATGAAGCAGATAAACTGGAGCTGAAAGGCTGGTGCTTGGCAAAAGACCAGACCCAGTAGTCCCAGCTCCATGCTGTAACATGAGACTCCAGAAGCCTTTGAGTGGGGCAGAGAGCATGTTCTCTTGCTACCACATGGTGTGGCAGAATGACCACTCCTCTTTATATCTTTTATATATTTTGAGAGACAGCTGCTCTTCCCATTTTAGCTTTCCTTCACTGGCCTCCTCGCTTCTCTTCTTTCTGTCCCCAACCTTGACCATTCAGAACTTTGTGACACATTCAGTCCTAAGACTTGACTTTTGCTGGTGCTTCTGCTACCCTTGGAACCGGGTTGTGTGAGAGCATTAGAGCATTTGTGCCTTTGCTCAGAGTGTCTTGAGGACTGTTACATTGACCTCACGGGTCATTTTGGTGGCTGGCTGGACTTGTGATAATTCTGAATAGTAACTTTGGAATTTTCTGAATCAGAAAAACATAGCTCCCTCTGCAAGTCGAAATGCTGTGGGAGAATGCCTGGTGGGTTCTCGTGAATCATGCAGAAGGAAGGAGGACTTGATTGGCATGCATATTCACTTCACTTTCTCTCCCCCAGGCCCCCCTCCTGCTTGTTATAGCCCCGGTAGTCTTGTCCAGATTCTAGAAGACTCCAACTACTTTTCCCCAGACTTTCAGCTCTATTCTGGGAGGCATGAAACACCTGCTTTGACGGTGGAGGTAACCAGTAGCATCAAGGAAAAAGTTGGTAAGTTCTTTTACTGGCACTTGTGTTGGAAAGCAAAATGATCTTACATTTCTCATCTTTAGCTCTTTTGCATAATTCAGATGTTTATTCTCTAGTCATGTTTTAAAAATCATCATATTGGATTATTGATTGTCTGTTGGTAGATGCCTTATTTTTAATCATGTTTTGGTATGGTGTTAATAGACTGTTTTACTCTGATATGTGACTTTCTCTGAGAGCATCATACCTAAATATGTAGGAACCTCAGAATTATACTACTTATTTCCAGTTTTTCTCTGATTCCTAAATACTTTTTCCTACCCTTTCTCATAATCTCATTTCTTTTTTCCTTCTCTGCTTTCATATTTTATCTCTTTTTGCAAATAACTTAGAAGTTAAAAGAAGTAATTCAAAACTATAGCAAGGAAGGAGCTTTTCCTTTGTAAAAACTTCCTATCAATTTTTGAGAGCTTTTTGGTTAAACTGTGAGGAAGTCTTTAAACCACTTTAGGGAAGGATGTCATGGTTTTTGCTAAATGTGCTTATAACTCACCTCTCTCTTACTTCAGTGAAAGGGGAATTCAATAGTTTTCATGCTTGTTGAGATCTATTCCTGTATTATTCATCAAAATACATAATTTTCCTTTGGAAATATATTTTGCTTTGAATTTTTATTCATTTTATTAAAAAATTTTATTCTTATTTGAATGTGCTTGTTCCATTAAGCCTTTCAGATCAATTACCCTGAGGGGAGGACTGTGCCCTCTTTACTCTTGTAACCCCAGCACCTGTCCCAATGCCTGAACTATAACACATTTTTAGCAAATATGGTAGAGTGAAAGAGCAGACCGGTCCAACCCACATTGATCAATCTTTCCTTGGGTGGTTAATGGCTTTATTACAAATATTTGGCAATTCATCTTGTATGGAGTTTAATAGTTTGTTTTTATTGTTTAGAATTTTTTACTGTTGAACCTTGGGTTTCTACCTCAGTTACAGTATTGATTCTCTGTAGGTAAGGGATAAGTTTCAGTTTATTTCAAGTATAATCCTATGAGGCAGAAAGTCTCTCCATTTTTCAGAGGTGAGAGGTTCAGAGAAGCCACAAAGGTGAGAGTTTGGAGTTAAGGGTGACAGGGAGAGCCTTATGATCAAAGTTGAACTTCAGGAATCAGTCTGTAAACTCCGTTCGTTTTCTCAATAATCATGTTCCAAATGCCTTCTATGTATCAGAGCAGGGTTCAAGGCACTGGGGAGGCAACATGTGATTATAACAGATAGTGTTCTCTGCTCTATCTGGTAGAGGAAGACAGGTCATAATATAATATGGAGTGAAAGGAGAAGGAGCCAGGGGCAAGAGATATTGAGAAGCCATTCAGGATGTCTAAATGACCGGTAAGGAGAGTTGGAACCTGGAGAGTGGCTGAGAGCACGGAAGAATGGACTGGATAGGGGAGCTTGTTGGTGTAGAAACTAGGGCTTGGTTGTGATTTTTAACTGTCATAAATGTGAAATTTCTTAATGAAAATTAGGGGACCATCACAGAGTTACAGCGTTTTGCTATTGCAAGGACAGTAACAATGTCATCTATTGTCACCTTTTTTCATATTTAAATACCAAAAAAATAAGAGGGATGTGATCCTTGACAGTTCTTGCCCCAAAAAGGACAGTTTTAAGCCTTCTAATGCATTTATCCATTTACATACACATATAGATGTATTAATAGATGTGTATTTATATATCTTGTATATAAGCATATCATACCACCTTCATTTTTTTTTCTCAATTCATTGTGGACTGAGAAAAACTAACTTGACAGTTGATTAAATGCAGAGAGCAAAGAATAAAAAGGTCAAAAGTGAATATGAAGTTTCTATCTGGATGACTCATATTTGAGAATGTCATTTATAGGAAAAAAACATGAATTTGGGGAAGAAAGACTGTTTTGGGAAAATAATGTTCTGTATGTATATATTAAAACATAGAGCCATCATTACATGCATTTGTAGGAGTGAAGGCTGCCTAGAGATGATCTAGTCCAGCTCTGAGTTTACAAAGGAGGATATTGAGGCTCAGGGAGGGAAAACAATTTGTTTAAGGTCATGCCAGCAGTTAATAGTAGAATTTTTACTTTTATAATGCTATAATAATATTCTTAATGCACTACTAATTTTCCTGTTGTGAAATGGGCTAGATATTATATTTCATGGAGCTCATGTAGGTTTTCTTTTATTGGTTAAATACCTGAGGCCTATTACATCCAGGCATTTGGCTTTGTTCTAGGGAGACCCAGATGAGACAACATAATCTTTGCCTTTAAGGAGTTTAGAGTCTTGTATAAATAAATAATTGCCATCTACTGTGAGAATTGCTGCAATGGAGATATATATAAATGGAGTGGGGACACTGGAGAAAGAGGCTCAAGCCTGCAGGGCTGCAGCAGGAAAGGTTTTACTCAGAAGGTAGCTTTGGAGCTATCACTTGTCTAAGAATTTTCCCGAGAGACATGGTGAGATGCGTCTTTCTAGGCAGAGAGGAAAAGGCAAACAAAGGTCCAGAGGCTGGAAAGAGCTAACATTCCTTAGAAACTATATGTACATGGGTATTTATGGAGCTTAAATTCCAAAGAGTTGCCAATGGGAGGTGGGAGCAGCATGAAATGTTTAGGTAGGTGGTATCTGCTTTACCATGTAATAAAATGCCAGTTTTATCCTGTAATTGATTATCCAGGAATTTTGGTACAGAAGAGTGACATAATTAGATTTACATATTGGAACAATCTTTCAAGTAGTGTGCCAGATAGACTGGGGTCAGAGGGCTGGCTTTGGAAGTGGGAATACGATGAGTGTCAGGGAAATAGATAAGGAGGCTGTTGGAATGACCTGGGCATGTGATGCCAAGGGCTTGTAATGTGGAATGAACACAAACTTGGTGTCATATCCTGGTCTGCCTCTTCCTGCTTGGTTGCCTCGGCAATTTACCTCTGTGAACCTCTCTTCTCATTTGTAAGTTAAGGGAATTAATATCTACCTCTTAGTGTTTTATGTGGAATAAATGAAATAACACATGGAGAGATTTAGTACAATAGCTGGCACATCATATACATGTTTAAAGTAATTCTTGTGGTTATATTAAAGTTATTAATGATGAACTTGGAGATTGGCACAGGAACAGGAAGAGGGTTGGCAGAGATGTTGAAAAGGTTAAATTGACAGGTAGTGGCTGTGTGAGTATTGGGGGTAGTAAGAGAGAGGAAGGAATTTTGGAAAACTTTCAGTTTTCTGGCTTGACAGAAAGTAGATGATGCAGGGAATACAGGGGTTGGGATGGGTGGGTAACCATGCAGGATGAGGAAGACATGTTGAGTTAGAAGTACTCAGGGCCATTGTCTGGCAGTTGTAGATGTATGGGTCATGAGTCAGTAGTTGATGATAAGAGGTAGGTGTGGTGTCACTGGGAGACATGTAAGGGTGGAAGAGCACTCAGGACAGAGCTGTGGGAAACACCAGAATTTAAGGGACAGGTGAAGAGAAGGGAGCCAGAGATAGTGTGTAGAGAGAGGCAGGAGCCAGGACCAAGAGGAGGGATGACCTGGAGTCCGGATTAGGAGAGCATTGCAGGAAGAGGATGACCAACTATGTCAAATGCTTCAGAAAGGTTAGGTGCGTAACAGGATAACTGGAAAATTCTCATTGGATTTGGTTACTGATCAGAGCAGTGGGGAGGATAGTGGATGGAGCATTTGGGAAGTGCAGACAGCAAGTGTAGGGCACTCACTGAACACAACTAGAAGAGAAGGAAAAGAGAGATACAGGGTGGTAGTTAGAGGTATATGAGAGGGCCAAGGAAAGTTTTCTTCTGGTTTGATTTTTTTTTTCTCTTGTATTACTTTTTTAAGATGGGAAAGACTTGGATATGTTTATGTGCTGAAGAGAAAGGGTCAGTGGGAAGATTAGAGAAAAGGGAGGAGTTGAAGGATGGAACAGTGTTTAGGAGAAAGCAAAGGAGAGGGAGTGGGGAATAGTAGACTCACTTTGAATAGGAGAAGAAATTCGATGAGACATTGCCAGGTAAATGGAGGTGATGATGTATTTGAAATATCTTTAAATGTTGCCGTAGTTAGAATGTTAATTATGTACCACATAGTCACAGACATATATCTCCTGTGGAACAGCCTGATATCTTTTTTCCTATGTTTATCTTTTAGTTGAAGATCCTCTTTGTAACTTCCACTCCCCAAATTTCCTGAGGATCTCAGAGGTGGAAATGAGAGGTTCCGAGGATGCGGCAGCTGGAACAGTATTGCAGCGGCTGATCCAGGAACAACTGCGGTATGGCACCCCGACTGAGAACATGAACTTGCTGGCCATTCAGCACCAGGCCACAGGGAGTGCAGGACCAGCCCACCCTACAAACAACTTTTCTTCCACGGAAAACCTCACCCAGGAAGACCCACAAATGGTCTACCAGTCGGCACGCCAAGAACCGCAGGGTCAAGAACACCAGGTGGACAATACGGTGATGGAGAAACAGGTCCGGTCCACGCAGCCTCAGCAGAACAATGAGGAACTGCCCACTTACGAAGAGGCCAAAGCGCAGTCACAATTCTTCAGGGGGCAGCAGCAGCAGCAGCAACAGCAGCAGGGGGCAGTGGGCCATGGTTACTACATGGCAGGGGGCACCAGTCAGAAGTCCCGAACTGAGGGGAGGCCCACTGTGAACCGTGCCAACAGTGGACAGGCGCATAAGGATGAGGCGCTGAAGGAACTGAAGCAGGGCCACGTCCGCTCACTCAGCGAGAGAATCATGCAGCTGTCCCTGGAGAGGAATGGGGCCAAGCAACACCTTCCTGGCTCAGGGAATGGAAAGGGTTTCAAAGCAGGAGGGGGGCCTTCCCCTGCCCAGCCTGCAGGTAAAGTGCTTGACCCTCGGGGTCCTCCACCTGAGTACCCCTTCAAGACCAAGCAAATGATGTCCCCGGTCAGCAAGACCCAGGAGCACGGGCTTTTCTATGGTGACCAGCACCCTGGGATGCTCCATGAGATGGTCAAGCCCTACCCTCCTCCTCAGCCTGTGAGAACAGACGTGGCCGTCCTGCGGTACCAGCCACCCCCTGAGTATGGGGTAACAAGGTGATTATCAAGTGTAGAGTTGCGCTCAGCTTTTCAAGATTCAGCAGTCATGTTATTAGCATTTATTTTCAGGGAAGATTAGGTTTTTGTCCTCAGGCTTTTCTTTTCCTTGTGCGTGATATTTAATAAACCACTTTGTGGCCAGAATATATAGGGTGAAATAGAGTAGAGGGCAACTGCAGGATTATCTCCAAACATAGCAGCAGGCAATTGGGGATTTATGAGTTTAGGGGAGGGACCTCACTTGTTAGCCATCCTTGGGAGCTCTGCCTAGTGGCCTGGCAAAGTAGCAATTTTCCAATGACTTTGTGGAGTGTCCAAACTCCTGGAACATATTATTACCAGAGGGTTTTATAGTCTTTTCCCATTGCAGATTTTAAAGGAAAATGTAGTCTGAATGCTAAAATGAAGGAGTTAAAGGGACTGTAGAAATCATATAGTCCCACCCCTCATTCAACAGATGAGAAGCTAAATCCTGGAGAGATTAACGAATTTTGTAGTACACAACTCTGAGGCATCTGGGGGCTGGACTCAAGTATCCTGACTGCCAACATCTATTCACTCCCTTGCCCTAATTCTTCCTACAGCCTTCACTTGTATTCTTCCTGTTGACTGATGGATTCAGCAGCACCTACCGAGTGTATGCTCTACTCTGCAGCCCTGTTCCAGGTTCAAAGATGAGATGTGGTCCTTGCTCTCCAGGACCCTATAGCATTGTCTTGGAGGAAACCAGCATCTGAACAGATCATTGCCGTTCAATGCGCTGGTTAGGAGAGAAATGGTCAGAGGATGCTAGGATATCAGATAGGATATAGTATAACTCACAACTGGAAAGGGCTGGGGAGAGTTTCCCAGAGGAGGTAACATTTGAATTGGAACTTGAAGGATAAATAAGAGCTGTAGTGTGGAGATGAAGTAGCAGTATGTACTGTGCAGAGGGCGTGCCAGGTCTTCGGACAAAGAGGTCATGCAGATTTTTATGCGAAGCACTGGTGAGCCACGGTGTGGTAAGAAGTGGCAGTAGTTTGGACAGGGAAGTTTGGACATGGAAGTTGGGACCCATTTGGTTGAGACATGTTTGGACAGGGAAGTTGGTGATGATGGTCTCTGGGTGTCATACCAAGGAGTTTAGAATTTATCCATAAGCAATTGAGAAAAGCGGTGTTTTTAGGTAGGGGTGGTATGTGGATGTCTAACTGCTGGTTTTGGTGGCAGTGCAGGATGAATTTGAAGAAAGGGAGACCGAGGCCACAAGGAGCTCCAGGGATGCTTTCAGTAGTCCAGATCGGAATTGGTAAGGGTGGCTGAAGCTTGGGCAGTGAGAACAGAGGAGCATTATATGCTAAAACAGATAGGGAAATAGAATTGATAGGGATTAGTTAGATACAGAAGTTCTGGAACAGGGAAGATGGAAGTAAGGCAATTACGAATCAAGCTCTCAGGAGAGAAATTGGGTCTGAAGACCACATTTTGAAAGTCAGAAATGTTTAGATGTTGCTGACTTTGAAGGAGGAGCAGGGAACATGAACAGAGAAGACACATGGCCACTGCCTGTTATTGGATATGTCATTCTCACGAAGGGCTTTATTTATCTGCTTCTAAATTGATCAAGCGAGGGTTTCCCCAAGCAACCTCAGTGGCTATGTGCAGGACATGCCTTGGCTGTACCTCTTCTGTAAAAGGAGAGGCTGGAGCTTGCCAGAGGGAGAGTGGCTTGATCTGCCACTGACTTCCCAACGCTGACATATTTCCCCACATTAGGCTGAGAATGCCAGCTCTGAAGCAGCATAACCATCTGTGAGACCTTGGCCAGGCAGGAGAATGCATCCTCCCTAAATATGCATAACCTGACTCCTCCCAGGAATCTAAGGTGGGGCCCAGGAGGCTCTTCTTCCCCCTTTATAGCTCCTTGTGTCGTAAATGATCAAATCCCTGGTATTTGCATCACAGTGATTTACTACAGTTGTTTAAAATGAGCCATGAGGTTATTCCACCATCAAACCAGAGTTTGGATTATTATATTTCACCCTTTTTCCCGATAATTTAACTCAGCCTCTAGAGCTTGATAGAGGGGAAACTATCCTGAAATGAAATTCCCTTCCTCTTCTTTGCTTTACTATTTGTAAAGTAATATACATACCATGCAATGCATACAGTGGATCACTTTGCCTTTTGTCTTTTGGTAATAGGTGTGATGTGAGGTGGGAGAAATGGTCAGGGGAGGAGGGAAACACTTTTTGGAGATCATTTGTCTCAAAGTTATTGACGTTAGAAAGAAGAAGAAATGTGTGAGGGATTTGAGCTGACTGCCAGGCTTGGCAGCCGCTTGATATGACACATCAAATGTTTCAGGAAATGTAACAGACTGGCCATTGAGGCTGGGCCCCAGAGCCATAAGGCCCCTTTGTGAGCAGGGCCATGGCTAGCCAGCATGGCTCCAGCTGTGCAGCCCTTGGCTGACTGGGTAAACAATGTTGCATCCACACCAGTCCTGCTTCAGACACATTTAATGTGGCCTGAACTCCAAGGATTGGACCTGAAACTCAGCAGTATGTGATGTTCAACTCACCTGTGACTGAGAAGACAAGGAGGTCACCTTTCATTTCACTCACACAGTATCTTGTGCTTCAAGAGTTATCTGTTTGTCATTGATCGTGATGGTTTAGGAAGCTGCAGGCTGTTGTGTACATATATTCAACCACATAGACCCCTGGATTAGACGGAGATGCCTCTGATGGACATCACAGAATCCATCTCCCTGGCTGGTGAGGGCTTAGTGTATAATGAATATTCAGTAGTTTGGTCCAATCCATTACATTGTTGAGACTTCACTCCTTTTTGCCTAGAAGCAGAAAACTCCAAAGAGACAAGTGATAGAACTTATGAGAAGAATAAGAATTTGAATTTTTTGTGACCACTCCTGACTCACAGTAGCTTACAAATTCTCTCACCTACTCTGATGCCCTAAAGATGGAGATGTCTGGTGGGTGATTGTAAAGCCTTTTAGAATTCTTTCATGGGAACCCCCTGCGAGAGGCCCGAGGCCTTGATCTCGTTGACTTGAGCCACCTTGGCCTATGTGGGCAAGCTACTGTGGCTGGTGGGGATGGGAGTGCTAAGGCAGCAGGGGCCTGCAGGAACATGTGCTGGCTAGGGATCAAGGCTCTGGTTTGGTCTTGTTCCATTACACTTTTTCCTCAACCTGAAAAAGTGGAAGTGGATAAGAATGAGGACAAGATGGAAATTAGACAGATTGTTACTGTGGAGAATTATGACCGCCACCCCCTGCCCAGCAAAGGCAAGCATTTGGATATTAATTCTGACTCTTTGTAGAAACAGACCACTTCTAGAAGTAGTGACTTGCTTATGCAATCTGCCCCGTTAATGGAAATGAATGCATAAATGAATACCAAGGGATGATCTGATTTTTATCAAAGTAGTTTGGAGTACATTAGTCAATATGCATGTTTGTTTTCCAAAGAAATCTATCCATATTTCAAAAAATTGGAGAACTAGAGATGCTAAAAAGTTACTTACAATATTCTACTTTCCCAAGGCGCCTGCTAACATTTTTTCTGTACAAATTAATTTTTTCACATTATAATCATAAATTATATTGTTTGGTATCCCAGTCTTTTAAAGATAGCATTGTATCACAACCTTTTTTCCACAATCCTTTATTTTTTCAAAACCAACATTTTTATTGCATAATATTTCATAAAGTATACCATTTATAACATTTTCTCCATAATAGAGTGAACATCATCATGCATACCAAATGATCTATGTTTTTTCTTACTTCCCTAGGAATCATTGTTTAGAAATGAAATTTTTGGGTAAATTATAATGAACATTTTATAGCTTCTGATGCCAGATAAACTTTGTAAAAATATTACAATGCCTGTTTTACTTCATTTTGAAAAAAGTTATTATATCATTATAATTACAAAATCTTTGCTAATTTAATAGACAAATAGTGTTTTGTTCTTGTTGTCTTGAGATGCCTGTTGCTCAGGCTGGAGGGCAGTAGCACGATCACAGCTCACTGCAACCTCCACCTTCCAGGCTCAAGTGATCCTCCCACCTTAGCCTCCCTGGTAACTGGGACTACAGGCATGTGCCACCATGCCCAACTAATTTTGGTAATTTTTTTTGGTAGAGATGGGGTTTCACCATGTTGGCAAGGCTTCAAACTCCTGGGCTCAAGCAGTCTACTCACCTTGGCCCCCCAAAGTGTTAGGATTACAGGTGTGAATCACTGTACCCTGCCCACAAATAGTCTTAACTTCCTATTTGAACTTGTCCTAGCTAGCTAGGTTAATTTTGGGAGGAGGGGAGTATGTTTTGCTGTTTAGATTTATTTGATCTCAAAAACTGGCTTTTTATGTTTCTTGTTTATGAGAGATATATATTTTAATGGATTCAGCATAAAGTCTGTTTTCGCTAATGCTTGCTCTAATTTTCCATTTTCTAGAACTCCTTCTTCACCCTTAGTGCTGACATTGGAGCAGTTGTGGTGGTGTAGTGGTAGCAGGAGGATGAAACCTTCACCAAATGCTTGCTGTGTGCCAGGCACTTTGTGTGGGTTACTTACCTTCCTTAATCTTTACACTCAAAAGGGTGGGAACTATTAATTTCACAATTTTTACATATAATGAAAACTTAGGCTTAGAGAGGGAGGTTAACTAACTTGGTCATGGCCAGCAGCTTGGACGTGCAGGAGACAGGTGCAAACCTGCATTTCTTTGCTCCACACTGCATCTCTCATGAGCGTAAAGATTTGACCGCTGTACATTGCAGTGGAGCCACAGATTTAAACTTTCACTTGGGGTCACTAAATCTGGTGAATTTCTAATCAGATTTACAGAATATATCACAGCTGATGTCCAGCCTGTGCTCTGCCACCTTCTGTTTTTTTCAACAGGACCAGAATTCTGCTCAAGTATTCTAGACTCTAGGAGGAAAGCTGTCTGGATACCTGTTTTTCTTTAGATATCTGG